CTGGGTTCGACATACATTTTGTTTAATGAAAATCGGATCAACCAATTCAATATATAATAAAAAATCTAATTTGCCATTGATAACACAAGAAAACATGTATGAGAAAATTAATAATTGTCACATGACCGTCGGCCATTCTGGTCGAGATAAAACCTGGAACGAGGTTAATACACCTATTTTGACTTTTATTTATATATTTCGTCGTAAATAGGTAAAAAAAAGATATGCTGGAATACCTCAACAAGCTGTTATTATATTCATTAATATGTGCGATGTTTGCCAAGTACGACGATCATTTCATAAACAACCAGCTGGAAAGCCAATTGTTTCATTAGGTTTTTTAACTAGATTACAGGTCGATTTAATGGATATGCGAAGCACAGTATATGATGGATTTTGTTTTATAATGCATTGTAAAGACCATTTTACGAAATTCAGTTGGTTATTTCCGTTGAAATCAAAAGAAGCTAGTGGTGTTGCTTTTCATTTAAAAAATATATTCTATACTTTCGGTCCACCAAGAATTTTACAATCGGATAATGGAAAGGAATTTGTGTAAAAATAATTATTTATATTGATTTTAAATCATTCTTTCTTTAGAGCCAATGTAATTCTGAACTTAAAAAACGATTGGCCAGAATTATTAATCATTAATGGACGTGCACGGCATCCACAAAGTCAAGGTCTTGTTGAAAGAGCCAATGCTGTCGTTCAACAAATGTTAGGTAAATGGCTTGATGTAAACAAAACTTCTGACTGGCCAAGTGGTTTAGGTAAATGAAAGAAAATAAAATTGATATGTCGTTGTGAAATATTTTATTTTACCATATTGATCGTTTTTTCTTTTAAAGGACCTGTTATGTTGTCAATCAATAATTGTACTTCGCAAAGTACAAAGAAAACACCATATGAAATGGTCTTCGGTCAACCATGCAGAATTGATCATGAATTTTGGTTAGAATTACATAAAGAATCATCAACAAATGATTCAATTGTTAATGAAGAAGATTTACCTGGTTCATTTCTTCAAAAATTAAATACTGTTACTACTTCAGTTTCTGTAAAATTTCAAGTTCTTCCTCTATATGTCTGATTCTTTTTGTTTTATTTAGACTAATATAAATGATCAAAGCCAAATTTCTGATGAAACTTCAACATGTATATCATCTATTGATTCACATATGATTTTACCTGTTAAGTAAATAACTAAGCCTTTTATATGTAATTGAAGATCCATTTTTTTATTTTACATTAGAGAATTGACAGAAACATCACATAAACGAATTCGAGATGAAGCTGAAAAAAATTACATTCATACAGTAGGTATGATGTTTGAATTTTTGTTTAATTGATTGATACTCTAAAAGCATATTGATATAAATTTTAGAACGTCAATTGAAAATTTATGAACGTGCATTGAAAAAACAAAAATCTTTCGAAATAAATGATATTATTGGTTTGAAAATAGCAGATGTTGATCGGTCAAATACAGCACCATCTATTTTACCTTGCAAAATTATTGAAATAATTAAAAAGGATGATCCTATTAATGTATTTTATAAATTAGCTACACAAGATGGTATTATTAGTGAATTATTTTCATCATCTGAATTTATGGATTTGACTCAAACCGTCTCATCTGATTTACGTAAAACAGATATAACTCAATTAGCAAATATTACATTTATTCAAGCTTGTCAAATATTCACTAAATTTAAAACAAATAGACCTTGCAAATGTATAGGATCTTGTGAGAGTAATCGTTGTCCGTGTAAAAAAAGGCTTATCAAATGTTGTACTAAATGTCATCGTGGTAAAGCTATTTCATGTAAAAACAATATTTGATTCTTTCATTTCAATGTCTTGTTAAAAATATTCGAATACCTAAAAAATAAATCTTATCGCTTGCATAACAAATTTATTTAACAATTCCTTTCAGAAAATATTTGAGACAAAATGAATTTTCCATGCAAATAAATTACCAAGTTATAGAAAAGACTCACTTTATCATTAGATAAAAATACGTTTTTACATCATATTGAAAGCTTTCTATCATAAACTCAGATCTATACTACTCATAATAGTTCAATCTATGTAAGATAATAAAAAATCAATATTAGATATTTTACTTTCGTATCTTAAAGGAATATACTTTTCACTTCGTTTTGATAAACTAGAACAAAATAATATGATATTCATTTTTTTTTAATGTATAAAGAAACCTATGAACAAACAATTCAACAAATAAGTATTGTTTTCAATCGTAAATTCTTTCAGATATTTTTCTTTTTTATTATATATGCAGTAAACAATGTTGAAAAAGAATAATGTAATCTTTTAAACATCAGAAATAACTGTACACAAAATATTTCATATAATTAAATGACTTAGGGTCCTGCGAAATAAGCCAACCTTTTCGTGAGCCAAGGTTTATTCAGTTGACGTTTACAGTATAAAAACAACTTCACACAGACGCTTTAAGCTTACGGCTAGTTAGGCTGCGAACCAAATTACACTTTACATAAGCCTCAGTGGATACTATTGGGGTGTTTCATAATGAAAACGTCGACTGAATAAACTTTGGCTCACTTCCTAGGATCATAACTTGGCTCAATAACCAATTTATTTGTATAACACATTGCTTTTCAAAACTCATGCGGATCGTATTAATACAAAAACAAAATATTTATGAAATATTTCATCAATCTTCCTCCTATTCAATCTGATTGTTTCATTAAATTAAATTATACATTGGAACTTTTTTTCATTAAATATTGTCAAAAATTATCAACTTTTCCAATTCGCTTTTCCTCTTTTTTTTTCTTCTCTCTTGATTAGAATAAAAAACATCAATTGATTTAATTTAGTTTCGAGCCATTTTTAAAATCTTTTTTTTCTCATTTGATTAGTTTCGTTGAGTTATTTCACACTTCAACTAATTCTTCTTAATGTAATACCTTATCTGTTACTTCTTTCATGCATCATAAATTTATTCGTCAATTCCAACACATATTCCATAAACTTTTTATCTGACTTAAAACGAACTGATCCGAAAACTTACTTTTATATCACTTATCGGCACAGCATTTACGGTCATCTTAAATAAAAATCGACTTTTTTTACCTGATGTATCGTCATATATGGCTATTTATTCGATACAAAAAAATATTTATTAGTATTATCTAATATTTAATAACGAGTTAGAAATTTTCGTTCCCAAAACAACAACCCTACTGCTCGAAATATTATCAAGAGATAGAAGATTAAATATAAAAAGATTTAGGATAGCATTTATTACATTCAGTTAACTAGATTGTATACTCAATTACTACATCCAACAAATTTTTGATTTATTTACATTCATCATTTATTTCAGATACTCAAATTAATATGGACGATGAAATTTCTCATACACTGGAACAAATAGTTGATGGTATTTCTGTAACAACGTAAATTGCATTAATTTTCATCTTTGTTCATCACTAATTAACATTATTTTATTGTTGTTCTAGAACTGATAATAGTTTGCATAATACAGTAGAAGAAGAAGATGATCATAATGATAAGGAAGAAGATACAAATATATCTCAAACTGCTATACCAACAAGTAAGTTATTATAAATACTATTAAGATTTTGAATTTATATTGACAAAACGATTCATTCTTCTTCATGAAACAAAATAAATATTTCCGATACATCTTCTTTTACTGATTTGAACTTTGCAGTATGAATTAATTCAATTAAATTGAATCAATTGAACATAAACAAATTTTAATTGAGTCGATAATACCCAATCTCACTTCAGATAGATGGCATTTTGAAATTCTTTTTTTCTTATGTTTATTTTATTTTTTAGCAGTTGAACCAACTTTGATTAATATCAATGATATCAATACCAATATTACATTTCTGTAAGTATTTAATATATGTGTATGGCTTTATGATTAAAATCAATTGAGTCTTTGTTAACAAATAAGTTGACATATGTCCTAGGAGAAAATTTTCGGTTCTTGATTTTTATTTTTGCTTTTATTCCAATATAGATGGAAAATTCTTGCATTTGTTACCTGTATTTATCCTAAACGAATTTTTACAAATGGACATGGTACTGGAGAAATTTCAAATTGGGATTTAACTGATCAATCAGGTTCAATTACATTGGTGGCTTTCAATTTAAATTCCCATATAATGACTGATAAATTGAAAAAGAATCAAGTACAGAAAAAAAATCGAAATTAATCAGTGTTTTTGTCATTTCTTTTATAGGCATATGAATTTACAAATTTAACAATTAAATTTGCAGTGGATATTTACAAAACGTTGCCACATCCTTTTCAATTGACATGTACAAATGGAACACGTGTACGTGAAATAGATTCACCATTTGTTCTTGAACAAAACACATATAATTTCACACCACTAAACCAAATCAATAGCCTTCCATTGAATTCCATAATTGGTAAGATTTAATATTTGTTTAACAAAAGAAATATTTTCATAAATTGGCAATTATTTGTGGTGATTATTTGATATTAGAATTATTATTAGTATGACACATATTCTCCATTGATTCGAAGGAAAAGGTGATAGATTTTTCATTGAATAGAAGTCAGGATTGATAAAAAGAATTGAATTAGAGTAGATGATGACAGTGTCACGATACACAAATAACGAGTGCGCCATAAAGAATGAGGGTTTTATGAATTTCTAAATAACTCCGTCAGTTTTCGTCGGATCGAGCTAAACCTTTTTTTAAAAGATGCGCTGTTAAATTCTCTACAAGAATATGTCTAAACAAATTTTTCAGAATCACAACCGGCGAAGTTATGAAGGATATACTAAACTAACTTTGATACCTCAACTTTCAAAGGGCAAAAAACAGGTTTTTTTGAATTCCTTCGTTGTGAGGTGCAGTAGTAAAAATCTGAGACCACCATAAGAAAGAGCGCGAAATTCTGCGTTAAAAACGATGTTTTAAAAAAAAAATATTTAACTAAGAATGACTCAGCATCAACGTGTTTAAAATTTGAGTTTCTTTGAAAAAACAGCTATTTTTGGACATTTTTTCAGCACTTCCAGAAAAACGTTTATTACTCAGCCAAAACTTATCCTTTCTCTATAAAATTTTTTTTGTTTAAAAGTTCATTGTCTTAGCTATTCACTTAACTTTTTTTTCCAATTTGTAAGAAATTGTTTGTCTTCGTAGATCGCATCGGAAGTTGAGAAACATCAAAATTTTCGTCATCTTCACAATATCAAGTTTTGATGTACTGGTAAAGAAAAAGTTGCAAATTTTTGATGTGTATCGAAAAGAGCACATTTCAAAGCACTGGGAAAACGCAAAACTTGATTGGTTATCTGCTTGTGCATTTCGTAAAAATGCTGCTCAAAAAGTCGCAAACTTCGTTTTGAAAGTCACGGTGTCAAATTTAATTTAGTGTACCGTCCATAACCTCGCTGGTTTTGTTCCTACAAAATTTGTTTATACATATTCTTGTAGAGAATTTAACGGCGCATCTTTTAAAAAAAGGTTTAACTCGATCTGACGAAAACTGACGGAGTTATTCAAAAATTAATGAAACCCTCATTCTTTATGGCGCACCCGTTAGTTTTCTAATATCATATCAAACATCATATGTTGCAACCAAAACACATAATCAATTCTGGTAAAAAGAAAATAAAAATATGAATAAATTTATGGTTACCTTTCTCACTTCATTTAATAGAAGAAAAAATCTATACACATGATATAATTTCAATGTTAAACTCTTTTAGATGTTGAAGTTCGTGTTTTACGTGATTTTGGTATTTCAACTGGTACAAAAAATGAAACAATATGGAGTCGACGTGATATACATGTTGATCAAGATGGATCTCATATTGGTATGACATTATGGAATGAACAAGTAAGATAAAAAACTAACATTTATTTATCAATTGCACATAATGATATATTTTCTTAGGCTCGTCTTGTGAAAAAAACTATGATTAATCATCGAATTAAATTTAAAAATGTAAAAATATCATGGTTTGATGGTATGTAATAAAATAAATCAAATAGCATTCTATTGTTGAACAGAACGCAAGAAGCTCATTATTCTTATTGTTATGACTACTAGCTTATTTTTTTGTTTTTCTTTAGGTACACGATTTTTGGTTAGCTTAGCTAATACACAAATGAAAGTGCTGCCAAATTAACTCGATAAAATGAATACATAATTCGTATTTAATCTTGAATTCTATTTAAAAATAAATAAATAAATAAATAAATAATTTTGCATTTTATTTTCCTTGGGACTTATCAGTTCAATCGAATGTTATTGTTGATCACGAATAAATGTTTAACGTGGTGTTTGATTTTATTATTTATTTCAATTTAATTTATTTAATAAGTAATCATAAAGAAGAAAATATTTCTTCGTGAATTTATTGATAGGAAAAGGTATAAAGAAAAAAAAAAGTGTAGTTATTATAATTGATTGAATATTTAAGAAGATAAGAAGATCCATCTATAAGAGTTTGGATTGTAATCGATCTATCATGAGATTGTCAATATTCTAAGTATGGCTTTTTTTTTTCTACATAATCTCAATAAATGAAACGTGATACAAAATCAAAGATCATAACGTTATTCTTTATTTTTATTTAATAATTAATATACCAAGAGTAAAAATGATCATATCCTTAATTAATTGAGTAATATTCCTTAATTATTCGAATAAATACATAAAAGTAATTAATTTATAAATAAATTAAAACAAATAATAATATTTGTATTCTTTACAAAATTATTTGATTGTTTGAGAGAAATTGCATTAGAAAAACAACTTATTTAAAATTTCTTTTATACAGTAATGATTTTTTTTGGAACATGAAACATGTGGCAATTTAATTTAGATTATTTATATCAAACTAATATTTCTATATTAGTGTAACCGACAAGAAAAAATTAAGCGCAATAGATAGTCTGATTTCTGTTTTAAAAGTTTAAGTATCAATATGACTTTTGTTGAAAAATTAATTAAACGTCTTTATCCGAATAAAATCATCACTCATCGAATATCTGATTTACTTGACAATTTATCAAATGATAAATCCAATAATAAATATATTTATATAAGTATTGAAACAGATACTAATAGTCGTCGATTTTGTTATTTAACATTAGATGAACTGATTAATGTGTATCAATCTTGTCCAGTATCTGAACGTTTTATTTATGAATGAATTTGTTCTGAACAACATGTGAAAGCATATATCGATTTTGAATATTATATTAATTGTAATCCTGATACTGATGATTGTCGTATTGGACCAATTTGTTGTCTTAAAATACTTCATTTATTATTAAATTTCGACGAAAAATTTAATTATAATCAAAATATTAATATTGATTTTATCTTTCAAAAATTCCTTGTTCTGGAAGCGTAAGTTATATTCAAATTAAAATTTGAATATCTCAAATGAAAGTATTTTTTTCATATACTTCTCATTACCAATATACAGTGGTTTGTAAAAAAAACTTGGCCTCATATTTTCAGTCCTGCGGCCGTGAGATTCTTTGATTTCGAGTAGTTTCAAGCATGGTTGGATAGCCCACAAAGAGTACTACGCGTAGGTATACTTTGATTTATTTCCCATTCGCGCTCACCAGAAAACTAAAGGACGGAACTCCTACAATTGGAAGGTCCCAAAAAGATTACACTATAATAGAGCAGTCTCGTGATGAACTTGAATGGACGATTGTAAGAACTAGAAGGCAATGTCAAGTAACTATTCCATTATGGAGACTCAAAATTTGCAGAACTGCTTTTAGAATAGGGATTGAAATAGGCGAGAATTCTCAAAAAAATTTCAATCTATGCAAAAATTGACTGCCTTTAAATCCAATTTTAAAAGTATGAGAGCTTGTTAAAATCGATGTTCATTTTGAGGGAAACTTATTGAACTCATTTTGAATTATTCTCAATGAAATAAATAGATAAAAAACGAAAAACAATCTCTAAAAAACGTGTAATTGCTTTTTGTACCTTCCAATTGAAATACTTACTTGCTTCATTTTTCTTTCCAGCATGGATGCAAAATAAATCTATATACACTAATACGTAGTGTTCTTTGTGAGCTACCTAGCCAATTTGGAACCAACAGAAATAAATGAGTTTTGCCAAAGTACTATTTGAAATAAATGAGGCCAAGTTTTTTTGCAAACCACTGTAAATATCCTATTGAAAAAAACACTGTTGTTGAATAAATATTTTTTTCTATGTATTGTAAATGTATCCTTTCGTTTGTAATTTTTGTTATGAATTATTTATAAAAATTCTTATTTTTAGATCGACTTCACAAAAAATATCATACCATTTTATTCATACAAATGAAAACATTCTTTTTGATAACAATCAAACTTTCGGCTTGTTTTTTAAAGTTACAATTCATTTTTTTCTTTGGATGATTATCAAACATAAATGTATATCGTTCCATATTACTCAATCATTAGAAAAATGCACCATCCCAAGTTTAATCGATTTATTAGGAAAATATGTTAATCTATTACGTACATCTTGTAGAGAATGCTATATATATTCGAAATTTCTTACGGTTGCATAAGTTGCCTATCTTTTAGTTTTAAATAAAGAAAATCAATATACTTTGGCTATTGATTTAGGTGTTTATTCAAAAAATCAACAATTTCGTTTATTTGATTGTGTAAAAAAACAAAAAGGAAATGCATTAATTCAAAGTCTTTCTTTAACATCTGCTCAATCCGTTAAATATTCATATAATGAAATATTGAAAAACTCGTTATTAACGTATCATGAAAAAACCAATGTATTTATATTATCGGAAAAAGATAATCAATTTGTATATGAAGAACTAGATATTGTTGATAAATCAATATTTCAAACTTGTGAATTGATTAATATAAATAAACTCAATCATCATATAAAAAATTTTTATCCCAGTTCAACAAACTATACAAATAGATCTAATCGTGATAGATCAAATTTTTCTTCATCTATTACAAGACCTACTAAAACTGATTTATTGGACACAACTATAGAAAAATTTAAATCATTTGTAGAAAAGCTAATTACAAGTGATCCGTCTCATTTAGGCTATATTCGATCATACGTTCATGGTAATCGTAATTCGGATGTGATATTTTTTAACATAGGAGGTGAATATAGATTTTGTCCTTTTATAAATAGACATCATAAAAGAAACACGACTGCAATTTTTATTGACATAAATAATCGGACATTTACTATTCGCTGCAAAGATCCAGATTGTAAACATACGAATTTATTTTGGCATAAAATTGAATAAAGTTTGCTTTTTACTAAATTTAATTGTGAATAAATATTGAAAAAATCGATGTCTTTTATTTCTATTGATTCTACATGATAAAAATATGTTGATAAAAAACATTCTCAATATGACCATAAGAATTAAACTACAACTATCCTTGCTCTTTTTCAGAATCATTACGTAAATAGAAAAGAAGAAAAATCGATTAAAACCTAAGTTTTTCCCACCGTTTTTAATCAGTTACGGCATTTATTCATAAAAAGCAAGCAATCAAATCATTTCAGATTGTAAAACAACAAGTTGAATTTCATGCAATTTCTATACAATGTCAATCAAGAACAGTAAAAATCAAGACTCAATAAATAATGCCATATGGCAACGAAATTTATCCAATGCAAGAAATATTCATATCAATTTGGAATCCATCATGGATGGTCCAATGCAATTACTATATCAAATATTAAATCATTTTGAAAAATTAAATGGTATAGATCCAATTGGATTATTTTTAAGTTTACTAGTTTCTGTCGGGCACCTTTGTGCTGAATCAACAGTTAAAATTACTAATCATATATCGAAATTGAATCTTTTTCTGTTATTAATAGGTCCATCAGGTAGATTTTTATAGAAGAAAAGGACATAAAAATGTCTTCTGTTTGTATAGGTACTGGAAAATCAAAAATTATTAGTCCAATTAAAAAAGCTATAATTGATACGATTAAAGCCTTGGGAATTTCTAAAGATGATGCCGGAATCATGGACGATTTTACGAATGCTTCACTTTCAGCAAAACTAGCTAAAACCAATGTATTTATTCTAACAGATGAAGCTGAAAAGCCGCTTCTTTCATTAGGTTTTTACTCACCATTATCAGAAATTAGTGCTGGAGACCGTATTGCTGGATGTAAATTTTTTGGTTCAATACCAACGAGCAAAGATACGATGAGCTATCATTTAGAAATTAATTCACATTTATCTTTCGTTGGTGCAACAACTGGACGATTATGGCATCGATTGATACATTTTTATGGACAAGGCTATCAAAGTGATGGATTTTCCGAACGGTATTTATAACTATTTTGTTTTTCCTATTCAAGAAAGAAAAAATTTCTCACATAAAATTATTCAAAAATCAAAATTCATTATGGGATTCATTCATAAGAAACCTCTATTGAAACACAACAATTAATCAAACAGATAGATTAATGATTGGCTAACTAATTAACTCATCTTGATCCTATACACATGTTGAGATCGATATTCATCTTTTATTTATTGAATCGATAAAAATCAATATTTCTATAGTAAATAATGAAAGATAAAATACTTTATTGAAGAAAGAATGAATCGTTCTATCAGATTTTGTTTCTTTTCGAATAATTTCCCAATTGTTCTATAAATATTTAAATTATACCGTCTTAAATTACATCCACCATTTTCATTTTAAGATTCTTGCATTATGTAATGCCAAAAAAAAACGAAGTGAATTTGAATTTATCACAATCAATTGAATATGATCAAATTGACAATGATGATAATGATGACGATGAATATGATGATGATATCAGTGATGACGATTATGAAACAGAACAAAATTCAAATCATAATCTTCCAACTTTATCTCAAATTTTAATTATTTGTCGATTAATTGGAAAACGTAAATTTATCTTAAGTCGAAATGGAACAAAGAAATTTTATAATAAAATACGTCAATATCAAGAATTATCTCAAATTGAAAAACCAAATGATGTTAATTATGGATCTCGTATGGGAAAGTCCGCTGAAATATTATGTAAATTAGTTGCTGTATGTCAAATACTTAAAATTTCAATGGATATTCTAAAGTAAACTTTAATTCAAATCTTATCTTCAAGAGAACAGTTTTATAATGACTTTTTTCTTTTAATTAATAGAATTCTTCAAGATCAAAAACAGCTCATTTGTGCTGATTTGAGTTTCAATTTTATTCGTAATGTTACTCAAATAATCGAAACAAAGTATAAATCTACAAATATCGTTATGGAAATCGATTCGTCTAGTTGTCGATTAGCTGGAACTCTTTTATGCAGTCATTTACTTAAAACATTATTTACTTTATATAACACGGAACCAATAATTATGCCTGAAGAAAGATCAACTAATATTCAATCAATTTCTAGTAAATTCATGCTTTCATTCACTTTTTTCTACTAATATAAATATTCATTAGTTCATTCAAATATAAATACTATTCGTGAACGAATAATTCGATTTCCACAATTATTCTTTTTGAAACGTGATCTTACTGGTAGCATGGGTTTACTTCGACATTATCCTTCTGAAATAGTCAATACTGTTCTTGATGAACTTATCTGTTATGAATTGATACGTCAAGGACGTATGTATTTTAAATTCTTCATATAGATAATTTTTTTATACATGATTTTGTGTATAGCCTACGTAAGAACAACATCTCGAGGAATTATTCATATGAAATCTTATCCATCATATAATATTTTAAATGATCCATCGAAAGTTGTCGTAGCTGAACGAATACTTAATGATTTAAACTTGAATTTAGCAACTTACATGACTATTCTCTGTAACTCTACCATAAAAGAAAAACAAGTACTTACATCAGCTGGCAAAGATCTATTATTATTACCTGAACACAACGTTTTATTGCAACATCTAAAAGAAAAATATCCAGAACGGCACTTAGATGGTAATTTTTTCTTTAATATAATGATTGATTATTCCACCTTATCTTCCATTAGAAAAAAATGCCTGAGCTTATATAATTAAATTAGTTCATATTCAAATCAATTTTCTCTACTTTCAATTTTCTCTTTTCCAGGTATCATTCCATCAGATGAAACAAATGAGTCAACCAACACCATAAATGAAATATTACCAAAATCTTCCATAAATAATTCATC